TATCTTTATCTTTATCTTTATCTTTATCTTTATCTTTATCTTTATCTTTATCTTTATCTTTATCTTTATCTTTATCTTTATCTTTATCTTTATCTTTGTCTTTATCTTTAACTTTATGTGTGAATGTTGTCGATAAAATCAAAATTACTTGTTTTTAAATGGAAATTGTCGGTGCTTGCTTTCTACACTTTAAGCGCAGATGTACATAACTATATGCGTATAAACAAAACACGCGTAATATTTCTTAATTTTCAGTTTTATCTCAAAGTTGAAAACTTTGATTAAGATTTTTTTTCAATTTGTTCAATTCTTGTGAATTTTGCCCCAAGTTTTAAACTTTGACTTATATGGCGTATCTTATTACATTAACGAGCAATTCTGGTAAATATATATGTATATATATCCATAGGGTTCTCGGAAACTGCTCTAACTATTTTGATGAAATTTTGTACACCGAAAATGTTTTGCATTTTAAAGTTACCTGAATGGGTGGTATTATCTCCGAGAAGACTCGTATAAGGTTGCCAACTATTCCAAATTAGCTACAAATTAATTAAAACATCATAATATGGTTACCAAATGGAAGGTATTCTTAAAAATACCAAACTCAAAAATATGTTTAAAAGGGTTGCCACCTATTTAGAATCGCATATTTATTTAATTTTTTGTTTAGAAAAAAGGTAAAATATTACTATTCATAGGTACCAAGAGAAGGTTCTTAAACAATGCTTTCCCTATACACAAAGTGTTATCCCTTAGGATAATAGTGTAAGGTTGCCACTTATTTTCGATTCTACACAATATATCTTAAACCTCGCAATATGGATATCAAATTAAAGATATTGTTGACCACTTTGGTCCGAAAATATTTTCGATCAGGGTTGCCACGCTTCGATGCAATACAAATCAAAAAATCAAACATTTTGTACGTAAACTATTACGATTCTGATTTTAAACGTTGAAATTTCATTATACATTTTACGCAATTTTTTTATTTTTATTTCGGGGTAAAAAATAGTACAGCAGTTTCGAAATTTGGTATAAAATTGTTATAACTTGGCTCTCAGAGGGCCTAGAGGGCTCAAATTAAAGGTCTTGAATTGCACTAAAACGCATTTATTGTTCGAGAGATATAAAATTGTGTGCATTGTGTGGACGCACAGCTGCATGAAAACAGAAAAAAATGCAATAAATACTGCATTTTTTAAATTAAAGTGTTCAACGTTTTTTTTTCGAATTTTTAACAGTGGAATCGTGTTCCTCGTCTCAAAACCTAAAATACTTAAAAAAAAAAAAAATACATAAATTTTTTGTTTTGGAGTAAATCCGGTGAACTTTGCATGTTTTTTTCCACGAACACTATTTTTGACCAATTTTATATTTATATTTAATATAATATGTGTATAATATTTAATATTTTTTTTCGTGAAAGGGAATTATTTTAGCTTTCAAAACCATTTGTTGATGTCGAAAGCGCTACGATTAATTCGCAAGCAGTGTTCAAAAAGTACACTGTGCGGCTTGTGAAAGGACAAGGTATGTATTTTAAAATGCTGTGCATTTAAGTTCCGACTTTACTTGTTTTGGGCCACCCTAATAATTTTGAAAAACTGTCCTCTTTTGCCAGAAACATAAATGTGTAAAAATGAAAATGTAGGAAAATCAAGTTTGAAAGTTTTTTTATGAGACTTACCCAGTAGATAATTTCCGGAGCTAAAAGCCCTTCCGAAAGGCCTTGCTAAGAGTCAAGAGGTCTTCCACTTTACAATCCTTTCTCCTTTCTTTTTTTGTCTGGAGCGGCACAAATTGAAGACGGCTTCTTCTTTCGCTACCCATGGAAAGCCTTCCAGAAGGGCTTTTATAGGGCGAACTTCAGATGGCCTTTTGGAGGAGTTCTTTTAAAGTTGCTTCTTTAATTTATTAAAATCATACATCTTTGAAGTATTTGCTTAAGGTATAAATCAAATATGTGTTATTGCAACTTAAAATGTTTATTGAAATTCATTTGTGATACTACAGCAGAATTTCGGCATAAAAATCATCTTGGTGGTCAGGATTTGAGATATTACTAGAGAGAGAAGATACGTCACTGAAACTCAAAGGAATATAATCAACCACCTACTTACAAGTATTTTTGATTTCCCAAAAAACCTAATGAATTCTAAATAAATTTTGTTTTTAAAGAATTAAACTTTTATTTTATTTGAAAGTTGAGTCCTGCATAAATCACAAACAAATAAGTCAACCAGAGAGAGAGAGAGAGAGAGAAATGCATAAAAATTTGGTCTTTTTTTTTGAAGATAACTTCTCATTTAGAAATCGTACTTGCGTAGGGAGTATTAAGATATGATGTATGTATGTATGTGAAATCAATTAATACAAATGCAGTGTGGCATAATCAAAAGGCTAGCATATAAAAATATGTTTTTAGACACATTCAATTGGTAATTGTTGTTATTGTTTATCTACATTCCACATTATTATTATTAATTAATTACATATTTAATTTTTACCGATTTCTGAAATCATCTATGATCATTTACCATAAAAATATTCTACAATAATCTCGTCATTTGTTTGCTATTATAACTATGTATTGTATGTATGTATGTCTGTATGTATGTATGCATGTTTGTTTGTTTTAGTTTTGATTGAAGTGATTTCTTAATCTTAGACATCTTTTTCAGTTCTTTATGTTAAGAAGTTAGACTTAATGCGATGTTTTTTTTTTAACTGCAGCCTCAAACGTATGCATTTTTTTATGTATATTTTATTCCATAGTAATGCTAAATAAGTTATTCATATCTGAACTATCTTAAAGACTTTAATATATATATATATACGTTGATAATAAACACATGTGGTAGTAGTATATATATCAGAGTAGAGCCATGTTAAGTCATTCTCGAAAATTTCACAGTCACGAATTTTTTTTTTAGAAAAGTGTATAAATGTAAAGTACTTATGTTTAATGTTTATGCTGACACAGAAATAATGATAGGACACAATTTTTTGTATAAGGCTACATAATTTTTAAGAGTGAATACGTGAAATAAGAAACAATTGTTTATAAAGGTTATTGTATAACCAATTATCAATGTATAATAAATTGTTGCTGTTTTTATATGAGAGTGTAAATATTTACCTACAAGAGTCTAAAGTTTCAGTCCGTTATCTACTGTTGTTCTGGAGAAATTAAATATAATTGTCAATAACATGAACAAACTTAGGACATTTTGCACAGTATTTTTACGTCAGCAAGGCCTGGTGGCCTGCCTGGTTATCAGGTTATATATTACGGGTATTCTCGAAGTCTTGCAAAGCCCTTGCACGGTGCACGGATTGCAATGGTAAAAACCGGTTATCCTATGGGACAGCTTTGCAAACCGTGCAAGGCTTGCAATACTTCGAGAATACCCCTATTATATCCACTTTAAGCAGGATAGAGCGAATACCTACAAATTTTTGAGAATCACTTGATAGGGCTTTACTCGTCATATATGTATTTGTATGTACATATATAGGGTTTTTGAAAATTTATGATTCATTTGAATTAGTTTATTTTCGCCAATAATTGAATTGCCTTACGAAGAAGAGCTGCATTTTCTTTTCGATATTTTTTATTTAAAAAGTTGTTTATATTAACATACATACTGCATACAAATATACCTAAACATTTTCACTTAAATGTGCCAATTGCAATTTAACTAAATAAATAAATTAAAATCTACGATGTACACACACATCCGTTCAACATTGTGTTCCATTAGCATGTTTTCGTTTTCGTAAAAAATAGTATAGAAATAAATATTTAGCATTACATATGTACATAATCTATGATCTGCTAATATACATACATATTATAATAAGTTTATATAAACTAAATTATATATTTAAGTCAACGACTCTCATCCTTCTTTTTGTTTATATTTTCCATCAGCTATTCATTTTTCAATTTGTTTATTATGTAATTAGCAGTTAGTATCACGCGGAGCATCTTTGCTAAATTATCACTACAATATTACTAAATCGAAGAAAATGAATTACACACAATTGTAGCATTTAAATATAGGCAGAGTTACTGGGAGTAAAAGTACAACAGTACAATAAAGTGCTAGAGCAATTCACATGGGCTTCTGAGCCGACGGCATTTAATAAGACCACTAAAATGTTAACATATTGATCCTAAGGTAGAGCGATCACGTCATATTCACACCCAATGCACGGCTTGAGTACTCATACACCACATAGCTAATGGAAACTGCCGGAAGCACTTTGATAAAGTTTGGTGTAATGCCTCGATACAAACCAAATATGCCCTCATTATGTAGATTTTGCGAAAGACACCAAACATGTTGTCGTCGTTGATTGCAACCGCTTGTCTTAGTGGTATGCCCACTGATGGTTGCTTATTTTTGGTCACAACTGAAAAAGTCAAAAATTAAACTTAAAACTTTCAAGCGCTTAAGCGAAGAATTTTGCTGATAATTGTATACCTTGCGCTTGAAGTCGTGTCCGTACCAAAGCCAATGGATAGGAGCACACCTGTCCCAAGGTGCTAGATGCACTGCCGCAAGCCAAAAGAACGAGAAAGCTTGGCTGCTCCGTATTATGACTGCTCAAATACTTTTTCTTCAAGGTTTCATACACTGCCAGATCAATGCCGGCGTAAGGAATAATGCCCAACATATTCGGAATGTAACCACGATAAAAGCTTCGTACACCCTCCAGTAAATAGATCTTCTTCGCAGCATCCAAAATGCCGGTATACTGACCGGTCTTGCGCAATGCCAGCCGGGTTTTTAATACTTCCATTGGATAGATGATAGTTTGTGAAATACCACCCGCCGCTGCACCCGCCATGAAGCGTTCGCCAATCGTCATCTGTCGCTTCTCATCGCCCCTTATGAGCCGCTTAATCTTTTCATATGCCGCAAATTTGATTGCCGACTCGGGCGCTATTTTCAAAACGTTAATGCCATTGCCGCGCCACATACTACGGATGCCGCCCTCGTTCAGCATATATCTTAAACTATCAGAGATTCCGGTTTTATGTGTTTGAACCTGTTTGTGTCAATTTCAGGATATTTAAAAACTATTAGTTTACCAATATTCGAAAATACATATTTAAAGCAAAGAAAGTGGAAAAAGCAGCGGAAGAATAAAAACTCATGTGTATATTTACCTGCAAGAACACTTTTATCCTATCTAATGGAGCTGTGCATGTACGCGACACTGCACCCGCGACACCGCCTGCAGCCAGGTGACGCCACCACATGCCGGTCTGCATTTCACTTTGCGTGAAATCATCAGGTACATTTAAATCTTCGCCAATGTCAAGGTACTGAAAAAGCAAAAACAACAAAAAAAATTGTATTATGCAAATTACATACTACATGTATAGCATTTAAATGTATAAACAGTCAGCCTCAAAAATATGGATACCCGACGTTTTGACGATTTTCTTTATTAATATTTTCCATACCAATTTTTTTTTATAAAAATATTACATTCAACAGAAAAAATCATCATAATAAATTTTTTAAATTTCATATAGAACTCAGGAAAATTCAGGAAATACTAAAAGCATTTCATCAAAATTTTCCACTTTTTAATTCCATTTCTTAGAAAAATTTTGCTGTTTTGTAGCCCATTAGAATAATAAGGTCAAAGTTTCAAGTCTCTAAAAATACCGTTGAATTTTGAGATTTTTTCTTGTCATGGTGTGTTTCGCATTTTCTTCCCATATAATGCATGAACAAAATACTATTTTTATATAAAAAAAATGCGCAACACCCTCGACAAAAAAAAAATCTACAAAACTCTGCATCCCTAAAATTTTTTAGAAATGGAATTGAAAGGTTGAAAATTTTGATGAACGAGTTCTGTATGAAACTAAAAAAAAAAAATGATTCTGCTGGTTTATTGCACGTTGCAAACCATATTTTTATAAAAAAATAACAAAAAATTTGGTATGTATGGAAAATATAAATAAAAAAACGTAAGTGTATTCATATTTTTGTCTCTGAGTGTAGGTATGTATGCATCGATAGGCAAGTTTGAGACTTCTACTAAAATGAACGACCATGAATACATTTGCGCTTGAAAATTAAGAAAACTATAGGCACATTTTCCTACATACATACATATCTATTCGTGCATACATACATATGTACATATATGTAGGTATGTTGTTTTTAGCAAAAATGTTATATTCTATATATCGCACTACCAGACGCTGCAGAATAACATATGGGCATATCCCAAAAGGGTAAACCAAGAGCGAAAATACTTGTTTAAAAAAATAAAACCATTCGCCCCCGACAAATCGAATTTAAAATTTTATTTGTGTTTGAAATTTGTCGCGTCCGTAACCGTGAAAATGTCAATTAAATAATACACAATAACTTCTCCCAGCAATGCACAAGCTGCAGTTTTAGATTAAGCTCATAGTTTATGTACGATGAGAGTGAAGAGAAGCCGAGAAGGAGTGTCATATAGGTAAATGAAACAAACCAACGCCAAAGACTTTTCTGGGAGAAATTAATTTTAAATTATAAAAATGTTTGAATTGAATATTTATAATAAATTTTAAATAAAATTTCGTTGGTGCTAATGAGTTTTCCTACAGGAATAGTACCAGAAAATGTATACATTGTCATAATACATAGAAAGCTTTCCAAGTTGGAAAAGTCTCGATATCACGAGGTGCTAATTAATATAAACAAATTTACGCCTGTGCCAAGTTTTTATTGCATGCAGATATGTAAGTACAAACGTATAG